GTCCTTGACCATAATTACCAGACATATACATAACAAAAGTTTCCAGTAAAATTCGTTTAAAGAAATTTAACTTGTTCGCTCCTCTGTAAATTCGAGCGAGGCGGGGTTCGTGCGAGTACTTATTGTTAGCTGCTTGCTGGAATCGTGTCTAAATGATGAGATTGAAGCCGAATCGGAGGGCAGCTTCTGTGCGCGGATGTAATCACCGAAATTCCGCTTCGCGATTTCGTGGAACATCTGGGCAATTTGCGTGCGAGATGAGAAAAAGGCCCTGCGCGGGCCCGTCTACCGAACCTTTTTTTCGGCCCGCAAAATCCTTAGAAATTGTGAAACGAGGATAGCTTCCGGAGTTCAATCCTTGCTCGCAAGACCGTGATGTACTATGCGCGCTGCTTCGATTTTTACCTCGTCGATGATCATGTAATAGAAGTTCAAGGAGGCGGGGGTAAAAACCGAACGAAGAGCAAAAACATTGTTCGTAGAAAAAAAGGGAAGAAGAGAGGATATTCGTTCCACAGAGGAACTTGAATTGGAATTTCGTTACGAAAGCCGCTTACGACTTCACAATCGCGACTAATAATGATTTAATTTATTATAAATAACGATATGCGAGATGCCTTATGCACCATCGCTCAATGTGTATACATATAAAGAGATATAATCTGCTCAACCAGCGTAGAGCAATTATGAAAATGTTACACTGCTTTATACGCAGTGTATATGCTAATTTATGCTGGCAATTGAATTGAGAACCGCGAATGTCGGAAGACTGTAATGCGATTAATTAAATATTTTGCAGACGTTTTAATTAACTTGATAAACGTACGATTAGTTTTATTCTCTTCGTACTTTTATCGCAATCGCTCACTTCATGTATCAATTTATTTATGGAAAAAATTATAATATTTTAATACCTTACATCATCTATTATTCTGATATTACTTAAGAACGTATTGGCTATACAGTCAATCCCAAAAATTTATGCACTTTAGAAACGCATTTTTTAAAAAGAAATCAGACGTCGAAAGAACATTGCTAATAATAAACAACAACAAAAAATTTTCGATTTTTCCGAGATTTTTCCAAGGGGTACCCCTTCACTTTCTTCCAAATTTTCGTTTTTGGCCAATAACTCTCAAACCGTTGGACATACGGAAAAATTACATACGACCTTTCTTGTAGGGGACGACGAGATCTACAATTTCTGTATAAAAATTCTTCACTAGCGTCAATAGTTAACGAGTAATTTGCGAAAAACTGTTTTTTTGTTTTACGTCCATAACTCTTTCAATATTAATGCTAGCGAAAAACATTTATACAGAAATTGTAGATCTCGTCGTCCTCTACAAGAAAGGTCGTATACAATTTTCCCGTAGATTCAACAGTTTAGGAGTAATTAAGGAAAAATGAAATTTTTTGCCAAAAGTTCGCCGTTTCGACGGTGGGAATGGTCGGATTTTGTCAACATCAATAAAATGCCAAATAATCATACGTAACTCGTTAAATATCGAAGTTAGAAGGAAAACAACTTTCATTTCAAGTATTTTTCGAAATTTTGAGAAAAAAAAATTTTCGTCAGCGTCAATACTTTTCTAAGGTACATAAACTTTGGGGATTGACTGTATAGCCAATACACCCTTAATGTCCATCATTACACGTTCCATTATTTATTATATTACGTGATAATACTTTGAACTCTGAATTTGAATCTTTCCTCTTTGATTTTTAGAGAGGAACTCGCCATGAAGATCGGCCTTACGGAAGCACGAATACAGGTGAGTAAAATCAACAATGGAGAAAAAGATTTTTATAGATCTAAAAAGTACACTCATCCTGTAAGGATATAAATCTAAATTAAATAAATGAAACACATAGATGCATCATGTTCACATCTGATGATACACACAGTAAACTGATAATTCGCGTTTCTCTGTAATTCACGGATGACCGGAGTGGATACTGATTGAAGAAATATGTAGTTTGATTGATCGCCTGAGTCACACGCGTCGTAGAATAATTCGCGGATTATCAATTTCCACCGGGCCGTAAAACACAATTATTTAAAGGGGAGGAGCAAATTCGTTTGAGGAAGCGCGGCCGGGCATGACAGGGAAACGAAAGAGAATCGATGAAAAGCGGATGGATAGACGGAGAGAAAGAGTAGGATAGAAAGCAGCCGGCGTCTGCGTAATTAATGCGGCACGATTAAGCACGAAACGACTAGGTTCCGGCGGCGAATCGTTGTTGCGTTTTGTTTTAAAAGCCGCAACTCGAATGTTTAGCTCCCTGCTGGGGGCAATCCTGCTCGCCATGGGAGGTCCTGGCACCCGACCCCCCACACCCCATCACCTTTAAACCTCCCCGTACGTACGTACTGTCTGGCAACCATACTTTGCATGTTTTCCATAACGTCGTAGTTCACCATTCGAACACACGCGTTTCGCTCATTATTTTTTCCTTCCTGTCCCATAACAAATTCCTGTTGCGCAACCTTGAATAACAATTACGTATTTGGTTGCCCCTTTTGCATATACCGGAACTTTCATACATTGAGAACAAACTGTACACGAAGTTAAACCGCTTTCCAAAATTATTGTTAATATTTGAATTTTAACATCGTAAGCATGAGACGAACGAAGTAGACAGAAATGAGATGATGAATGAAACACTCCAAGTGGTTAATTAACCGAGAATAATTAAATTGAACAGTGTACCTAAATAATCGATTTTTCTTTTTTCTCATCATTTTTTTTACTTAATCATGTTCAAACACTAGCTATCTTACCCTGAGGTCTGTTACGCAATCGCCAGGAATTACTGTTATATAGATACAGGTTTCTTTCCTTCTTAATTAACCGGGAATTAAATTGAAAACAAACGCGCACCTTGTTTGGCGGGTAGAAAAAATGAAGGAAAGCGGACCGGTATAGCTCACAAAATACCATAGCTGATGTCGAACGATTGATCGAATCGATTTTCGGATCGCAAAGTCATCACGAAATATCCTCATACCCTGCCCTACGGCGTACGTGTACGAGATGACGAGGCTGGGAGTGACTACATCTCGGCGCGGCGGTTCTTTTGATTTCTTAACGTATAGTAAAAAGTATACGTATACATATAGAGCGATTAAAACGCAAAAACGATCTTCGTGCGGTTCTTAGGTATAATGCAATCCAATTGGTGGAGACAAATTACTTTCCAAACTTCTATCATAGTTATGAAACTAATACATGTAAGGATACGCTCAGTTTGTTTGAGCTCGATCCTCTTGCAGAAAACAAATGTTCAAGAAAACAAGATTTACGAGTACAGTCGTCTGGTTAGTTAAACTAGTTTGATTGGTACGCTGTTGTCATAGTCGTCACGAAATATAATATAAGAGCAATTCGGACGCGATTTGTCTCGCTAGCGAAACTTGTCGACGCTTGAAACGTACGGAATCGGAGGGACACGAAATCGACCTAACAAACGAAAAGGAGACCTCCACGGAATTGAAGTCCGTCGAAGGAACGAAAGAAAAAAGGAACGAGAGACTGCGGGAGGGAGGAGAGCTTCCGTTGAATTGATTAGAGTTCTCGTCGAGTCTTCGGGGAACCTTCGCGATGGAATGCGAACCAATGCTCGAACGACGTTCCCTTCCGATATGCCACAATATTGCTAAAAGCCTAACTTGAACCGAGTTTATAGCTAAACATGGAAATTTTTTAATTTAACCGAATCTCGAAGAATTTATGTATGTCATAAGTTAAATTCTTGCGTGGTTATCAGACCAGGTTATTTAATATGAATTCTACATTCTTTCAAAATGTCTCGTCGATCAACTTGATATGAGGAATAATGGATATTTATGCATTTATAATAGACTTGTTTTCTTCAATAGCATTCGAAAAAATTATCATAATAAATTAAAATTTATCAGGAAAATTAAATCGGAAATAAACTTTTATCTGTCCCTGTTTTCATAAAGTTAAAAAGTAGGTCAGGGCAGAATAGTAACTAACGGCTTTACGATGGCCACGAGCGTTTCGTTAATTTCCGAGGAACAAAAAAATAGTTTAGGTAGCCGGACAAAGAAAGCCGAAGAAGAATGGAAAGGAACAAACGGAGATCGCGATGCCTCGCAGCGATCTCGTTCCCCTTCCATTCTTGACAATAATAATACACCGGCAGTTTCCTGAAACAGGGAGAACGCGTCGCGTTAACCAGAATTCGCACTTTCCCAGTAACCCAACTTCCAGCGAACTGATTCGTACAGTAATATTTGCTTTCCGATACAGAATCGGATAGAATTGGTTTCTTGAAGTTTAGTCTCATAATCGATTCCGCAATCGTTGCTCTTTCTGTCCGTTCTTCGACTGGCTTCCTCGAAACTAGACAATAGACGAATAATAGAAATAGGAAAACCGGCATCGTAAAATCGTTAACGAACAACATTTCTCCATTATATTGGAGTGTATTTCCTCAAATCTTTTAAAAATAAATCAACTACAATATTCGTGGATAGAATAATATAACGCATATTCTTTTTATTAATTCATTTACTATTCTTCTCCGGTTTTATAGTCTTCCCTCGTCTTACTCTTCATTACCCTTTACAACATATGTATACAGTGAATTTTGAAAAAAAACGTGATCATAATATTAAGAAGAGATGCAATGAAAACAAAAAATCAGTCAGATGATAAGATGAGAGGAGAAAATAAAAAAGATTTGGTTGCAGGTTTGGTTTCAGAATCGGCGAGCGAAGTGGCGGAAACAGGAGAAGGTCGGGCCTCAGGCACACCCGTACAACCCGTACCTTGGATCAGGTGCACCACCGCCGTCGGCGGTCGTCGCGCCGACCTTGCCGAACCCTTTCGCCCATCTGGGCACGTTCGCCCTGCGGAAACCGTTCGACGCGTTTCGTTACCCGCCCTTGGGTCACGGCCCGATCCTTCCTGGTAGTTACACCGGTCATCCCTATCATCGGGCACCGCCACCGTTGCTACCGCCCGGGATGCCGCTACCCTACACGACTTCCGCGTCCTTTCAGAGTCTACTCGCGAACATATCCGCCGCCCAGAGACCGAAATTGGTCCGCGGCTCGCCCCCACCCCCGGCGCCGCCACCGCCGGCACCGACGATCACGCTGCAGCACCCATCGGTCCAGTCGCAAACCCCCAGTGCCAGTTCACCTCAAGGTTCGCCCACGGGGAGCGTCGGTTTACCAGATATCGACAGAAGAACCAATAGCATCGCCTCCCTCAGACTTAAGGCCAGGGAATACGAGCTACACCTGGAGATGCTTCGCAAAAACGGTGATCTCATCAGCTGAAGTGGACTCTCCGATGAAGATTCAGAAACGCGTCATAATAGGTATGCGAAGTTGCGAACGATTTTATATCGGGTTCAATGTCGTAAATAGCGAGCTGCGTGATCATCCAAGTTTTGGACCAACTGGAGTAAACTTGGAGAATATTAAAGCATTATGTACATGATGTACGATCGTTGTTCACGATCGCCTTAGGATGTATTTAGTTTGACGCTGATCGGGAACTGATTTTATCGCCGCGTAGCGAGACAAGCAAGGCGTAGGGGAATTTTCGGGGAGTCGAATCTACGATGACGCGATTAAATTAAGACGACGATGAAAAGCTTTCATACAAGGTATGAGCCAAAGAACTTGCTCTGAACTCTCTGGTACCGTCGATCGCATTTATGCAAAGGAAGGTTGAGAAACAATTGTCCGTCTTACTGTGATTATTTGTGCCTTCGTTATCGACGTAATTTAATCGTAATAACAATTGACGAGACTTTCGAATTCTATGAAACAACGATTCTCTTACGTACTCGACTATATTGACGTCCTTTATCATCATCGTTTTGAAGCCGATCGGCGATTATGAAATTCTAAAACTCTTGGATAAAATTTGATCGCGTAGAATGTAAATTCTTTTTGCAACGTATTTACATGACTAACGATTCGTGCGAGTCACGTCTACGTTGACCATTCGAACGATCATTCACTAAACTCTTGTTCTTCGAGTTTTCTAGTGATCGTTGGTATTGTCATTGCTCTTAGCGTAGATTGCTGCCGAACAGATCAATTCAAATTTCTCAAAAGGGCTTTCTCATTATTTGAAAAGGGAACAACGTCCTCATATGCACAAACAAATCCGTATCAGCCTTCCTCATTCTAAATGCTCACAGACACAAACGCCGATCACAGCGTTTCAGACGATCACCGAAGGTGATGAAGAATCAACGACGAAAATCTATTCTTCTTCGTGTACAGTACTGTATATAATTTACGGTAACGGTGAGACGGCGCGCTTCGAACCACTTACATCATCTATCAATGTTCGTAATAAGTACCGCGAAAATTTCTGAAAGTTTATTGCGAACGCAAATCTTGCTAAATTTTTCAAACGTGTCTTACGATTATCATAATTTGCAAGAGAACGATAAATGTTCGTCAGAAATTTTCATGGGACTTCGGTAAAGCGTCCACACATTTGAAATGCGATCCGCGAAACGAGTGCTCACCCAGTAACGATAACTAAGATTAATTTTAAACAAAGCATCATCGAAAGATGTCCGTCCAGAAATATTTTAAACCGTCGCGTCGCGACAGAAAACTTTGTTCGCGCGAATGCTTTAATAAATTTTTAAATAAACAGAGAGAACGTATATCTACTATGTGCGTACATGGAAATGAGCTGAATAATTTTTAAAACTCCGTCGCGACCGAGATATTATATTATATTATATTAGCCGTACGACGCGCGTATAATTTCTCTAACTTTTTACATACAAAAAATCATCGTACGAATTTTAGGTAAGAATTTAAGGAAGGAAATACTATTTATACACGCGCTCTATAATTCTTGAATGTTGAACGATATTACGATGTAAGTTTTACGACTGTATAAGTAGTGTAAGATGGCTGTAAATAACTAACGTATGCGTAAATTTTGCAGAAGAGACTTCATTTTTTAAATACTTCTTCAACCACTCGTAGTACGATATTTGACCATTTAATTCGGAGGAATTGAACTCCGTTCCAGATTCGAAGATCTCGAACAAAAAGCGAAGGTGCAAACGCCGTCGATCTGTATTTCATGTTCCGCGAGTAAAATGAACATCGATGTCCATTGTACTTAATTTAACCCTTGTATCTTCCTTTTTCATTGCGACAAATAAAAAGAAAAACAGAAGAGAGGGTAAAGCAAGAAGAGAAAGATGTTCTTCACTACAGAGTCCCTTCTATTGACTAAATAAAGATGCCCGTACATAAAAATAATCAAATCTCGAAAAATCTTTGTTAATCGACCGACAAATATTTAACAATTCTGTCTGACAAACTCACGGTCCGACATTTAATATATTACGCGCAAACTTAATATTACTTTACAGGTTCATCAAACTTTCTGCGAAAGGAGAAGAGGCACTAGCTATTACCGTGCATGTTCTTACGCTATAAGTTAGAAGAGTTTTCAAGAGCCTCCGGTCCTTGCCGTACTGACTTATGACAAGTAATTCGCGCGTCGGGCACGCCCGTCGACGAGTTATTTAAATATTTTACAGTTTAATGGAGTCCCGAGCCATTAATGCGCGTCAGCTAATTAGCAGCGTCGTGAGTACTTACCTACCTGTCCCACCTCCCTGCCTGCCCCTTTCCAGCAAATGCTAACGATCCACAGATTGATAAAACGAACAATTACCGACAAAACAGCAGTGCTGACCAATACTGACGCTATCTACAACTACTCTTTTCCAATCGCATAAACAGTTCGACGATACAGACCAAGAATGATAATATTGATTTTCATAAAAAAACATTAATCGAATATCATTAAATCAGTTTCATTCTCGAATATATTTACTTAATTGCGTCGCTACAATATTATTCACTTGCATTATTCGCATGCAGAAGTGCATCGAGTCTGATGGAAACAAAAATGATGATTCGAAGGTGAAACTGCGAGAGGAATTGGACTTCTCGATAACGCGTGGCAGGAGAGATAAGAGAGGGAGCAAAGCGATCAGAGGCGTGGTTCTTCGATGATCGAAGGGGACTCGATCATTCGAGCCAAGACGCGTGATCCCGCGATCGAATCGAGATGCAGACCACGCATCCGCTCGATCCCGAATTCATCGTGTCGGCTTGGCCCATTAGCAAATTACTACGGTGTAAACAGTATCGAAGAGACGCGGCGCGACGGTGCCCGCGGCCTAAGTGCATTCAAAGTCTTCCCGTATACGCGTTCACCATATACGTGGACGTTTATACATATACATACATAGTTAGTTAGCAACCGATTATTACCGGCGACGTTTTACACCGGGTCTAGCCACCTAATAACTGTCTACATGGGAATGAATTTAGTGGATCAACAGCGAACGGTCAGAACCGACTGTGTTCCAACCGAAATAAAAGATTTGTTGCTAGCTATACGTATGGTTCCTTAAATCATAGAATTTATGCAACTACGAAGTTATAGAAAAAATAAATGTCATTAATACTTGAATATTTTTATATAATATTGTTAAACTACTACAATGTATTTATAAGAAAATTTTAAAACAGTTATTAAGAAAAATGATAAAAGCTTGAACATATAACATGATCTCATTTTATTAATATTAGCAAATATTAGGAAAGTTATTTATGAATCAATTCTATATTAGTGTACTCAATGCAAGCAAATGCGCGTTAACTAACGATTTTTAATATTCGTCTCGGAAAGGAGAACGCATTCCTTTGTCAAAAGCCGCGGTTGCTCGGTTCTTCCCTGATGCGAGTAAGCACGCGTAAGGTTTTATCCAGTTAACAATCCCTAATTGCAGGGTCTCCCGTAACTAACTTGGTTAACGCGAAGGGCCCCCACGACGACGGCTTCTCCTGGCCAGCGTTACCTATCATCGCGATGGATGCAGATTAAACAGCCCCTTAATCTCAGCCTCTGCAAGTTTCGCTTTTAAGCTTCGCGTGGACCTCCCTCGTGCTCCCTTGTACGCTCCGTTTAATAGGGTCTAACGATAGGGAAACCGAACGATTTTTATGGAACCAAATCGTTGCTCTTCTTCAACGAACTCGCTTCGGCGAGCTTAATCGACGATAATCGTTCCATCCTTCAATCAAGTCTCCGGCTTTTGTGTAATTCGATTAGTCGTAAAGCGTCAAACTATCTGTTTCGTATATGTTATCGTCGGATAAGAAGTTCTGATGGATAAATTTAATAAGATGTAAATTTCGATTGTTTTGATATCTAATTATACAAAAACGTTCATAGCTGAACTAATTAGATTAAAGGGCTAGGCACTCCGAGATAAAATGGAACGCCAATGTTATCCACCAAACTGACCAAAAATATGAGTCCAAAAAGATCGAATTTTTATCCTTATATTAACAGATATTTGAATCGTTAAACAAACCTTCGAAAAACTGGAAATTAAATCTGGGACACAAAAATTGACCGTCAAATGTTAAAAATTCACGTGGCTATCCTAGCT